CCCACTCCCTGAACTCCTGGAATCTCTGACATTTTTAACTGTTTCTATGGTTTTACCATTTCCAGAATGTCATATACAGGTTAACATCTTAGAGTATGTTGCTTTTTCACTGACTTCTTTCACTCAGCAATATGAATTTAAGTTTCCTCTGTGTCTTTGTTGTTGATGATACTCCATTGCATGGATGTACCACAGTTTGTTTATTCATTCACCTAGTAAAGGACATCTTGGTTGTTTCCCAGTTTTTGATGATTATAAATAAAGCTGCTATAACAATTTGTGTGCATGCTTTTGCGTAGGCATTAGTTTTCAACTCATGGCATAAAATGGCTAGTGAGTAAATTAGCACTTAGATTAAGATCTACACACAGACTTTACACCTTTCACAAAAATTAACCTAAAATGGATCATTTACCCAAATGTAAACCAAAGTTATACAACTTCTGTAAGATAACATAGGAGGAAATCTAGGTGACCTTGAGCTTGGAGGTGACTTTTTATATGCAACAACAAAAAGCACAATCCATGAAAAAATTTTGATAAATTAGACTTCTTTAAAATGAAAACTTCTACTTTGTGAAAGACACTGTTACAGGATTAAAAAGACAAGCTGCAGACAGGAGAATACACTTGCAGAAGATAACTGATAAAGGACTGTTACCCCAAATATATAAAAAACTCTTAAAATTTAACAATAAGAAAATAATCCAATTACAAAATAGGAAAGGATCTGAAGAGAAATCTCAGCAGAGAAAATATATAGATGGTAAATAAGCATATAAAAAGATGCTCAGCATCACATGTCATTAGGGAATTGCAAGTTAAAGCAATGAGATACCATTACACATCCATTAGAATGCCTAAAATCCAAAACGTTGACATCATCAAATGTTGGCAAGGAAGTAGTGCAACAGGATCTCCCGTTCTTTGCTCATTGGAATGCAAAATGGTACAATTACTTTGGAATATAGCCTGGTAGTTTCTAACGAAGGTAAACTTAAGCTTACCATATAATCCATCAATTACACTAATAGTGAAAAAAACAAATGAGTCTTTTCTTTTTAACCAGCCCTGTAGGATTCTGTGTCAGGAAATTCTTTCAGAGTGTTCTTTCTTTTCTGAACTAAAGACGTTAGTTCAGCCCTGTGTCTTGGTGTCCTCTTCTTATCTGAATATATTTGGATATAGTTTCAGATTATTTATTTCAGCCTTGACTTGGCAACTTCTTAGGATGTTACTTCTGGCAATTGCCCATGATATTCACATTCTACAAACAAAGGCAATATTTATTACACTCAACCATGCCCTCTGGACTGGCCGATCAGGTCCACGATTCTCCTTATCTTTGTCTGGTAATCAGTTCAGTTCAGTTCAGTTCAGTTTCTCAGTCGTGTCCAACTCTTTGCAACGCCATAGACTGTCTGGTAATGGCTTTCTTAATTAACAGTTGTTGGAGAAGGAAATGGCAACCCCCTCCAGTACTCTTGCCTGGAAAATTCCGGGGATGGAGGAGCCTGGTAGGCTACAGTCCTTGGGGTCATGAAGAGTCGGATACGACTGAGTGAATTCACTTTCAATTTTCACTTTCATGCATTAGAGAAGGAAATGGCAACCCACTCCAGTGTTCTTGCCTGGAGAATCCCGGGGACGGAGGAGCCTGGTGGGCTGCTGTCTGTGGGGTCGCACAGAGTCGGACATGACTGAAGCGACTTAGCAGCAGTAGCAATTGACAATTGATAGAAACCTTTACAACCTTTAAGGCTTAGCTCTTGGAAATGGTCACTGTCTAAACTTAAACAACTTTTATTCATTTCCCTATCCACTGAAACTGCACTCAGGAAAGGTACAGATAAACATTAATTTCCAACTGTAATAGCTAATTTTTAGTCAATTTTGTTTGACTCCTTTATAGCATATAATTTCTTAAAACTCTTTTTCTTTGGTTTCTTTTAAAATGTTTAAAATTGTGAGCTGAAGCATACATATGGAAAAGTGCATAAAGCTTATGTACAAAGTTTAACAAATATTTTTAAACCAAAAACTTGTATCATGAAACAGAACATTTTTAGCACCCCAGAAGCTTTTCATGTGGTTAGAAGCAGGTGTTTAATCTCCCATGTTTAATTTAATTGGAAATTCATGTCTTCATTTTCTTAAATTGTTTCTTATATCTTTGATTTTTTTTCTGTTAACTATTCAGTGTTTTATGCAAGTCTCAATCTTTGTTGCTTTATACCTTCTCCATGGTTAATAGCCTTCAACTTACTAGAGCAGAGGATTACAATGTAGTGATGTCCAAGTAATTCAAAATTATTGTTAAATGCCAATGTTTGTGACTTATTTTAAATATTTAGCTTTATGGTATGTCCTGTTACCTTGTAAGTTATCCTTCCTAGAGCTTCCTCAAAAGGCTTTTGTTATTTTCTTTTTAATTAATTCATTAAATTTTTATTTTTATATGTTTTAAAGGCTACAGTCCATTTATAGTTATTACAAAATATTGGCTATATTCCCTGTGTTGTCCAATACATCTTTTAGCCTGTCTTATGTCCAGTAGTTTGTACCTTCCACTCCCTCTCTTCTAGATTTCCCCCCACCATTGGTAACTGCTAGTTTGTTCTCTATATCTGTCAATCTGCTTCTTTTTAAATTGTATTCACTAGTTTATTGTATTTTAGTTTCCACATATAAGAGATATCCTACAGTATTTGTCTTTCTCTGTCTGACTTATTTCACTTAGCACAATGCCTTCCAGATCCATCCATGTTGTTGCAAATGGCAAAATTTCATTCTTTTTTAATGGCTAAGTAGTATTTAATTGTGTGTGAGTATATATATATATATATATATATATACACACACACAGGGCTTCCCTGATGGCTCAGTGATAAGAAATTAACCTGTAATATAGAAGATGCATGAGAGGAGTCTTTGATCCCTTAGTTGGGAAGATCCCCTGGAGGAGGGCATGGAAACTGACTCCAGTATTCTTGCTTGGAGAATCCCATGGACAGAGGAGCCTAGCAGGCTACAGTCCATAGGGTTGGAAAGAATTGGACATGACTGAAGTGACTGAACACACACACACACACAGATATATATCATACCTTTATCCATTCATCTGCTGATGGATACAGGTTGCTTCCATATCTTCGCAAATATTGTAAATAATGCTGATTATTTTTCTTTAAAGTTTTTCTCTGTATATTTTAGATTGTTCCAGTTCGGTTAAAATAAAGATGTTGGAAATTTTCAGTTTCTTCAGTATATAGATTAAATCGTGTCTTTTTGAGGGGGTGGGTTCACATCTTCAAATTGTTTCTAATATATACATTCAGAGCAATATACCATACTTATGAATGCTAGTTTTTATATAAATTGGGGAAGGCTGAAACCAGCTGATATGTACGAATAAAATAATGTCTTATTTATATTTGTATCCCTGATACCCATCACAATACCATTCAATAAGTTGTTCATTTCAGTAAACATTTGCTAGGTATCTGTTATATGCTAGGCACTGTGTCAGGTGACAGAGATATGACATAACTGACACATGGACCTTCCCTAAAGAAGATTCATAAGAAAACTACTTATAAGTAAACAACTACAATCAAGTGCTTTGATGTATATGATTAAAACACCAGAGGATCCTAAGGGGAAAAACTGTCATGTATATTTAGACTAAGGGAGTATGAAAAGTTTCATAGATGGCATAATCCTTGAACTGAGATTTGGGAGATGAGTTAGGTATTCATCAGGAAAGACAAAGATATTTCATACAATTGGAGGGACAGTACCAGCATTAAGTGAAAGAGAGACTTGAGAACACCTGGCAATTTAGGAATGAAAGGATACATGCTGCCTTATCATGTGTGTGGCGGAGTGGAAGCCTAGAGAAATAGGCAGATGTCAGCTATTGTTTCGCTTTATAGATACTAAAAGCTTTATCCTTTAGGCAACAGAAAGCAATCAATGAGTCTAAAACAGGGGAGTTACGTAGTCAGATTTGCATTTTGGGAAAAAATGGCATCAGTATTCAGAATGGCACAAGATTGGAATTAGAAAAGAAAATGCTAGGGAGAATGCTGTAATAGTCCTGTTGAGAGATGAGGGTCCAAATTAAGACAGTGGCACCAGTGAAATTGAAGAGAGAATGAATTAATGAGATGTAAAGGAGGACCTGGGTACAAACTGGATGTGCTTTGAGATGACTGGACAGATCTTGCATCTACTGAGATAGATGTTGGATAGATGATACTTGGGGGACAAAGTAAAGGATGAGTTCAATGGAATTTAACATGCTTATGGGAAGGATGTCTGGATAAATATGTCTAATAGGTGGATGGATGGTTATGTAAGTCGATAGTCTAAGAGAGAATTGGTGTTAAATCCTGGGGATCCCAATCTTGAATGAATAAATACAAGGAGAGCCAGAAAAGGAAACTAATTTGAGCAAAAAAAGAAAAATAAAGGAGGAGGATGACCTCGAGAAAGTTAAATCATAGAGAAGAAAATGGTCAATAGTATCAAGTGCCACATATAGAAACAGTAGAGCCTAAACATTCCACAGGATTTGACATTACTAGGATCTTGGTGAAATCTGTTTTAATTAGAGATTATGATCGTTTCACACACTTAACTGTGAAGGGAAGTGAACTGGTAAAATAACTGGTTAGTTAAGTGCAGGGAAAAAATAGAACAAAAAAATTTTAATGAAAAAAATATAAATTATGGGGAATAGACACAGGGAATTACTGTGATAGTTAATAAAATAATGGTGGTTATAAAATACTGTATAACCAAATACTTAGTATTGTGGATGTTTGATAGACCTAGGTACCAAAGTACAGTGCTAAGCTACAAGGTTAGCACATCATAAATACTCAAGAACCATTTGATGGATTGAATTGTATTGGGTTTCCAATAACAAGTAAATAATCATCTTCTGTGCCTTGGAATAATCCAAAGCTTAATTTGTGTATTTACTTCTGATAAAGGTCATCGGACACTATTTATTGGCGTTCATGTGCCCCTGGGAGGAAGAAAAAGCCATCGACGTCACAGGCATCGTGGTCATAAACACAGAAAGAGAGACAGAGAGAGAGATTCAGGACTAGAGGATGGAAGGGAGTCACCTTCCTTTGGTAAGAATCTTCCTCTTTGTTTTAATTAAATTTATCATTGTAATATTATACTTGTTTAGACAATCCATAATTAGCAGTAATACTTCATACTCATAAAATTGTTTATACCTTTATAAAAGATGTTGGGCAGATCGGGGAGAAGTGGGAGAGAGAACGTTTAATCTTTTTCTCTTGTGCATCTGTTTTGTGAAGGTGAGAATTACCTTAGATTTGTGATTGAGGAAATACACTTAAGTAATAGAATTTATTGTATTAATCCTTGATAATTTATACAAATAATAGTGCTTGCTCTAAGTAGTTTGAAAATCCAGATGGAAATGTCTTTATCAAGTTCCCATTTACACTACTGCTGATGCTCTCCAAATTTCACTCTTAAGATGTGAAATTTCTATTATTTTAAATGTTATTCCTTTGAAAGTGTACAATTGACCTTTGAACAATACAGATTTGAAGTTGGAGTGTCTACTTGTACATGAATTTTTTTTTCAATAATAAATACCACAGCACTACATTGTTCGTGGTTGGTTGAATCCATGGATATGGAACCAGATATGAGTGACCATAAATTATACATGAATTTTCAACTGGGAGGAAGGTCAGTTCCCCTAATTCTCACAATGTTCATGGGTCAACTGTATACAGAATATCAAAGCACAGTGATATGGAAGTTACTAACAATTCCTGAGACCATGACAGTCTGTGTATATGACCTAATTAAGAACTTGACTTTCAGTTGTCTGACCGTCCCACTTCCTGTGACCTCCTTCGCTGCACCTTGTTCACTTACCTGTAGTCACGCCTCCTCTGAAGTCACTAATGCATTCATTTTGCTCTCTGACCACAGCTTCTCTCCTTATTTGCTTGTTCAACTACTTGGCCTCTCTCCTTTTTTTCTATCCATGTTACATTTATTTCCTTATTCTACTCTGATTTCATGGCCAATTTTAGTAGTACTTTTGCTAATATTCTAAATTACCTTAGGTTCCCTGTTTTAGTTTTATCCATACCTTCACTTCTACCTTAAAAAGCATATTTATGTTGGGGTTCCTTCATGTGCCTACTTCCCCCGGTAGGCATGCTCTGCAAGATGTAGTCATTCAACAGGCAGATTGTAGCAATTTAAATTCATTACTCAAGTGGGAATTCCCCAGTGGTCCAGTGGTTAGAACTCAGCACTTTCACTGCCAAGCTGGGTTTGACCCATGGTCAGCACAGGTGTGCCCCCCCCCCCAAAAAATTGTTACTTACATGAACCTTCAATACTTTCTCCCAATTCTATTGCATTTTTTAAATTTTTGTAATAATTATTTTTCAATCCTCTTCATCCTTCTCTAACGCCTCCTTTTTCACAGTTACTTAGCAGCCGCTTTCTACTTCAAAAGGAAAATATGTCACCAGAAAGAATTCACTCAACTTCCCTCACATAAAGACATAAACATATACTTATATCTGCAACTAAGTTTTTTCCACTTTAACAAAAAGGGAGTTTGCTTTTCAATTATGTTTATTTCCTATTCCCTCCCACCTGGAAATTTACACAATTTATAAGCTAGTTGACTTCTTCTTCTCAACTGGATTATTCTTGTCATCCATCCTTCCAACTACCTCAAACCCACATTCCCCAGTCAGATTGTATTCAAATATGAGATTAAGTTAGCATATGAAGTTTGGAGTAACAATTTTAATACTCTATAGGCATTGCTTTATTCAATACCTGGTTTTGCTAAGTGTTGCAGAGAAGTTTTTAGTCTCTATATTTTTTCATTTTAAAAATTTATTTCTTTTAAGCTTGAATGCTTATAGACAGTTTTTTTTTCTTGCATTCTCTTATTTAAGAAAACTTGCTAAGATAGGCCTAATGGTGAATATATTAAAACGCCCTTACAGTCTGCACATTTTCCTGTCTTTTCTGATTTTGTTCCACTTACTTTGGTCTCTTCTTTGTGAATTATTAGTACATCTGTATCTTGGATTTATGATATCTGCTCTTTGTCCTTTTTTTGTAGCTTGAAGTTAGTCTCTCATTATTCATTTGATGATCTGCAGTATCAGTTCTGCATATTACTACTTCTATTAGGGGTTTTGATTTTGCTGTTGTATTTTTACTTTTCTTGAGTTAATTTCTTATCTCATCGGATTTTTCTTTACATTTCCTCCTGTCCTTTCCTAGATTTTGGTTTTCCTGCCTGATGAGGTTCCTGGGTGGCTCAGATAGTAAAGAATATGCCTGGAATGCAGGAAACCCAGGTTTGATCCTTGAATCGGGAAGATCCCCCTGGATAAGGGAATGGCAACCCACTGCAGTATTTCTGTTTTTTTTTTTAATTATTTGTTTTAGTTTTGGCTGCACTGGGTCTTCCTTGCTTTGTGGCCTTTCTCTAAGTGAGTGAATGAGGGCTACTCTTCGTTGTGGCTCACAGGCTTAATTGCAATGCAGCGTGTGAAATCTTCCTGGACCAGGGATCTAACCTGTGTCCCAGAAGCGTTGGCAGGCATATTCTTAACCACTGGACCATCAGGAAAGTCCCCACTCCAGTATTTTTGCCTGGAGAATCCCATGGACAGAGGAGCCTGATGGGCTACAGTCCATGGGGTCGCAAAGAATGAAACACCACTGAACGACTAACACTTTTCTTGCTTGAGAGCCTGTGTGTTTAGTCATTTGATGGTCTCCATTATTTCTGGACATTTTCTTTTGATTCTGAAGCAGGTGATTTTCAGAGGTAATGATCTTCTTTTGGGCCATCAAGATTATTTTGACTTTCATTGATTTGTAGTGTTTTACAGGCTCCCAGATTTTTTTCTTTTTACTCGGCAAAGATATCCATACTATGTATATCCAGCTTTATCCTAAGAGTTCTTAGAGAGATAGGGCCCTCAGTGTGCTGTTTGTCTCCATTGCTCTGTATAGTTATGGGCATTAAAATTCCCCAGATATATTGTACTTACGTCAGGGTAGATTGATTGATAGTGGGGAGTATATAAAGACTACTCTGAGTCTCCTACACTAGCATATTGGAAGGATGGTCATCTCTGATTCAGTGGAGAGTGGAGGTATGAAAGTGTCTCCCACATTTTTAGGGGTTTTTGTTTCATGAAGTGGGGCCTGGGAGTATGATAAAGACAAAGCTGGGTAGATTTCTCTTTCTCCAGCTCCATCTGTGTAGTTAGGAGAGGCTCCCTCGTAAACTCTAAGAATGGAATATCTGTTGGAATTAGCTTTCATGGTTACTTTGAGTTTTCATTCTCTTCTAATATTGGAGAAAATATATTCACATTATCTTAGAAGTGATTTGTAAACAAACAAAAATAAGCTGGTTCCCTCGGCCTCTATCATTTTGTTCTTTTTTTCCTGTCGTTGGATACATTATGTCAGTTTTTCTAGAACAGGGGCTCTCACCTTTAAAACCCAGGAATTTTAAAAACATTTTGATGGCCAAACCCCATACTGATCAGAATCTCTGTGGGTGGGGCATAGGTATTTTTAAAAGTACCTCAGATGATTCAAAGCCAAGACTGAGATCCACTGTTCTAGATACTTTGCTATTCAAAGTGTGGTTCATGAGCCAGCAATATTAGCATCACATTTGAGCTTAGAAATACAGAATCTGTATAAGCAAAACAGAAAAAGAGACTCCGATGTATAGAACAGACTTGTGGACTCTGGGAGAAGGCGAGGGTGGGATGTTTCAAGAGAACAGCATCGAAACATGTATATTATCTAGGGTGAAACAGATCACCAGCCCAGGTTGGGTGCATGAGACAAGTGCTCGGGCCTGGTGCACTGGGAAGACCCAGAGGGATCGGGTGGAGAGGGAGGTGGGAGGGGGGACCGGGATGGAGAATACATGTAAATCCATGGCTAATTCATTTCAATGTATGACAAAAACCACTGCAATGATGTAAAGTAATTAGCCTCCAACTAATAAAAATAAATGAAAAAAAAAGAAAAAAGTCAGAAACCCAGAAAAAAAAAAAAAAGAAATACAGAATCTGATACCCATTCCTAGACCTACTGAATAGGAATCAGTAATGACAACCTTAGGTAATTTATACGCCCATTAAAATTAGACAGACTCTAGAATATTGCTTGTCAAGTCTTGTTACATGTTAGAGTCACACGAAGAGCTCTTAAAAAATATTGATGCTCAAAGACTTTTATCTGCTTAATTTTGGGTATTTCTCTAGGCACTGGTATTTTTAAAAAAGTACCCATGCGATTTAATATCCAGCAAGGATCAAGAGCCATTGATCTTAAGAGAGTCCTGCCTTTTTATTTGGTGAAACTTGGCAATAAGTCAGGTGAGCCAGAGTCTCTCTCTGTTGTGTCAGCCACTGTTTTTGGATGCCACCTATTCCTTCCTCCCCCAACCATCTGATTATCTCTATTGATATTGAGACCTAAGATGTGTTTTATCAGGGACAAATGTTTGGCACTCTGGTGATCTCTAAGCAGTAGAACTTCCTAGATTTCACTTTTTTTTTTTCAGTTTCTTCAGGACTAATAGTCTGCTTTTATTCCTATCTCACAGTCAGTTTAAATGCCTTGATAATTTAGTACTCAGCTACATGTTAAGACTGAAGCTATGTTATGAACACCATTCCCTTGATTTGGGCTTTGATATTCAGCATAGTGTGAATATATGTGATTACTATTCCGAAGGCTTCGAAGAAAATTTCTGACTACTTAAGAAATATTTATTTTACTTGGAAAGATTTCCAAGAAAATCTTTTGAATGCATGCCTACAAGTCCTTTAAAATGATTAAAAATTCAACTTGCAGAGGTATGGGCTAGAGGAGAGTGTGAGGAAGCCTCAGGTTCCTCTGGTGGGCTCCCAGAGGTTTTACATTGTAAATTGGAGTGTGTGTCTGTGGAGACGTGGAATAATGAATAATTTGGACTCATATTTCTGGAGCAAGGATCAATTTAACAAAAAGATTTTAGTGTAAATGTTTGAATTTTGGCACTCCTAAAAATTTTGTTACTCCAGTCTATGAG